TGGAAGAACTCCTGTGCTGAAAGCTCAGAGGCAGAATATTTGATCTTTAATAAGCAAGAAATTCATATTGACTCTAAACTGAAGCTCTGTCTTAAGACAAATGATAGAATCATTATATACACACACTCAGCAAAACTTTATTCATCTGTGTCCTCAGCTTTAAAATACATCCACAGGCTCTCTAAGGTGGCACTAATCACAGAGTGGTAGTATTCCCAATAACACTGCCCATTTAAAGCCAGTGATGTGCTTGCATAGAGACCTTCACATTTCCATCTTCAAAACTGCTTTCACAGATAGGTAAGTTCTCCAGGATGAAGCAATCCTACAGTGTGAGCAAGTAGATTCAGAACACTAAAAGAAATTGTGGCTCTCTCATCTGTATTGTATTACTTCTAAGTATGATGGGCATGGACATCTTAAGTCTTTAGTGTTTAGTGTAAGTGTTTAGATATGGAAAAACAAGAACAAAATAAAATCATGTTACTAATAACAAAATAACAGCAATTTTAAGGGTAACATTAATTTATTGGCAGATGATACAGCATGCTATCTTTATAACAAGGGTGCCTAAAAAGTCATTCTCACAGGTCAAACCAAGTATAAGCAAAAGACATTACTGTTCATTTCTTGAGTTGCCTATAGAATTTCTCAAGTATATCAAATTCCTAAGCCGGGAGACAGATGGGAGACAGCCAAAGCCATTTGTCAAAAATCTTGAGGGAATTCTACATATAACAAGTATTAGAAAATGACTTATAACCTATAGATTTTAAATATTGCCTAACCCATATAGTGTGTGTGTGTGTGTGTGTGTGTGTGTGTGTGTGTGTGTGCGTGCGTGTAAAAACAGGATCTCAGATATTTCAGGTTGACCTTACTATGTAGCTGAGGATGACTTTGCACTTATGATCCTCCTGAGTAAAAACATGCTAACTCCCTGTGGTGGTTTGAATATGCTTGACCCAAGGAGTGGCACTATTAGAAGGAATGACCTTATTGGAGGAACTGTAACACTGTGGGGGTGGGCTTTGAGATCCTCCTCCTAGCCACGTGAAAAACAGTCTTCTCCTGTTTCTGTTGGAACAAGATATAGAACTCCCGGCTCCTCTAGAGCCATGCCTGCCTGGACACTGCCATGATAACAATGGACTGAACCTATGAAATTATAAGCCAGGCCCAGTTAAATGTTGTCCTCCATAAGAGTTTTCTTGGTTATGATGTCTCTTCACAGACACCCCCACTAAGACACCCCCAGATGTAGTGTTGGGATCAAACTCAGGCTCATACCTGTGAGACAAGTACTCTTTCAACTGAACTATATACATATATAACCATCCCCAGGCTCAAATGTTATTTTCTCTAGTGAACCAGCATTGTTCCTGTTTATCTTCTCCATGATCTCACTGTTTCTTTCTTTAGTACTTTTTATTATTGCTAAATTGATTTTGACATATAGATATATAGATGTAGCTGTGGATGTGGAGATAGATAGATAGATAGATAGATAGATAGATAGATAGATAGAAGGAGAGAGATAGATAGATGTCCTTTAAAGATTCATTTATCATGTTAGAATGTGACAACATGGAAGAAATAAAACTGTGGTGTTCTATACTTATAAAAAAAATTAAAGAAAGCCTCATCAAACCCACCTTCCTGTGGGGTATGAGAGTCCAATAATAATTCTGGCCATGAGTTAACTTTTCACAAGAAGTAATCTCAAAAGTTTAATTTAGATCCATAGTATTAACATCAGAATTAAAAATACTGGAATAAAAAATGTCAGTAAAATCCCATTATTACCAATAAGTGTGTTTTAATCTGTATGATGATAAGCTAACATATAAGAAATAAAAGCTTCACTTGGCATGTTGTATTTATAGTTGTGTTTGCACCATATGAAAGGAATTTTGAAAAATTTAGAAGTTTCTTTTTGTTCTGAAATATATGTCTTAGGCGTTTTATTGCTATGAAGAGATACCATGACCAAGGTAACTCATAAAGACAAACAACTGGGGCTAGCTTACCGTTTCAGAGATTCAGTTCATTGTCATCATGACGAGAAGCATGGAAACATGCAGGCAGACATGGTACTGAAGGGGCTGCTCTCAGTTGTACTTCCTGATCTGAAGGCCGCCAGAAGAAGACTGACTTCCAGGCAGCTGGGGGCAGGGTGTCTCAAAGCCCACCCCCACAGTGACACACTTCCTCCAACAAGGCCATACTCCTAACAGTGCCACTCCCTAGGGCATGAATAATTATATAATTTTTAGGTATTATGAGGAATACACAGATATACAGGAGCATAGTCATTGTTCAAGGATTTAGAATTTACTGGGATTTAGTAACAGGAGCGAATTGAGACTAAATGCAGCCATGGGAAAACTCATTCTCAGAGGTTGGTGCTGCTGTGACCTTTTAGTAAAGGAGCTTCTCTTCACGGTGGATGAAGACATGGCAGACGTATGACTGATGAGTGTGCTGAGAATGGACTCATTGATGCTCAGCCTGGATAGGAGGTCTACGCTACCCTCTCCATGGCTCAGGGGACACTGTGGAAGAAGAAGTGGAAAGCATGTAACAGCTAGAGGAAGTCCTGTGGAAAGCTGTCTTCATGCCACTGCTTCCTCGAGAAGACTTGCAGACGATGGGACCTGTCCGCATTACGTCATAGAAGGGGAGGGGCTCACGAGATCCTGTGCCTCTCTGAAGATATATAGGCAGTTATTGTCTGTGTGTGTGTGTGTGTGTGTGTGTGTGTGTGTGTGTGCGTGTGTGTGTTTAGCCATTGATTAATTGTCCATGTGTTTATCAACAACCCCTCAACTGTGGCCACAAGAGGAACTCTAATTAAACTACTTGGGTCACTAGAAGAATAAATTAATTACAAAGACCTGAAATTAGAAGGGGCACTAGTTGGGAAGAGAAGCAGATTGGTGGGAGGGGAGACAAGAGAGGGTAAGGGGGTCAATATGATCAAAATACATTTATATGCAAGTATTAAAACACCATAGTAAAAGCCATTCTTATCTACAATTAATGTATACTAGGATTTCAAGGTGAGAAAAACGCATTTGCTGTGCAAACTAAGAGGATAGAAACATTGCTTTGCAGAAGGAAGCGAAATACCATCAAAATCTTTTTTAAAAAAATTACAAGTTTTCCCTTAAAAGTACAAGGTAGAAGAGTACTTACTCAGCTGAGAAGGGGCAATGTATCGAGCCTCTGATGGGGTGCAGTAGTCAAGACTGACTTCTGTGACTTCTACTGAGACACAGACTGGTGCTAAATCTTCTCTTTTCTACAAACAGCTGCATTTTATTCTGTCAGCGTGAAATGGCTTGGTAGGGCTTCAGATGAGATAATATCACACAGTGTTGGCTTAGGAAGTTGGGGGAAGTGGCAAGAAGGTAGCGGAAGTTTGGGTGAGAACAGGGAGAATGGCTTTAACATCAGTCCCCATAGAATATAACGTCAGCCATTGAGTGAGTAAATACAGGAATGAAAATAAGAAATACTTCATACTGCACAGAACTGGGTGTTGGTTAGGCATAGAGAGTTAGTAGAGAGGAGAGAGGAGTTAAGCTTGGATTGTGCCAGAGTTCCAGAGTTAAAGAAATTATGAGTTCAAGTTTAGATATTATTAGGGACAATTTATAAATAATATGTTCTGAAATATGGTAGAAGCATGCAATTAGGTCCTATGCTAAACCATGGCCAAAAAAATAGTTTTTAAACCAAAACACACTTTGGTTTTGACACAATTTTCTTTTGTTGTCAAAAATTTGAAGCTCCAGGTGTGAATTCATGCCATTAAGTGTTCATATTCATGGTGTGTGCTTATATATACAAGCACATATTTTATTCTGGATTATTTTGGGAAAGTTTCTATACATTGTATGTTATTTTCAGTATAGCATATCACATGTTTCATTGTTTCATTATCACATATCACATGGCTATAAACTTTAGTTAGTTGATGGCATTGTTTGCTGCTCTTGATTGGAATGCATAACAAGGAAATAATTTTTCCCTTCTTCAGAGGGATCACAGAACCATTTTGTGTGATTATTCCATGAGTTTGATTACTAGTTTATAAGCTTTGGGATAAAAGATGTGAAGTTATTTGCTCTCTTAAACTGCTATAAGTTGTTAGGCTATTCCAATTCGATGATGTTCAATTAACAAAGAAGAAAGACTAACAGAAAGGTGGTGTCTCTTCACTCTTGAAATCATTCCCAATTTATTATTTAGCAAAAATATTCATGATGTTTACATGTCAGATATAGGACAGTATTATCTCACCTCAACATAACAATAAGGCTGATCAATTAATTATCATTCAAAACTAGATAAAACTGAGTGAGTTTGTTTGCATGATATTTATTTTAACTAAATCCCTAACAAGCCTCATCTGCTAATTGGACTTAGCATTTCTGTTGCTAAATGAGAAGTGTTTTTGGCTGCTACATAGGTTAGTAAGATCTACCCAGTGGAATAAACAGCTAACATCTGTTATCCTGTCCTGCTCCAGCTTGGCTCCTTCCAAGTACAGCCGCCCCAGAGTCAGAGTTATCAAATCTCTGTCTGTCTGTCTGTCTGTCTGTCTGTCTGTCTGTCTCTGTCTCTGCCTCTATTCCCCCCCACCGTGTGTGTGTGTGTGTGTGTGTGTGTGTGTGTGTCCCATGTATAAGTGGAAGCAACAGTTATTATGAGAAAAGACCAGCAAACTCAAAGTACTGAGTATGGTGTCTTTGTTTTATCTACCTACCTACCTACCTACCCACCCACCCACTATCTATTTATCTATTTATTTATTTTAACCTGGTATACTCTCTAACATTAATTTAAACCTGACAAAGTTTAGAATTTTTGTAACATTTTTAAAACCATTTTATAATTAATTTACTTATCTCTTTGACATTTCCTGCCCTGTGAAACATATATTGACAATCATTAGATTAACTGTGAATATTTTCTTGATTTTTTTTTTAAAGAAGCTAACTCTTGATTTAGCTCAACTTCGAAAAGAAAAAGAAGATTTGTTGAAAAAAGTGGAGTCTTCATCTGACATCACAAGCTTGGCAGAAGAAGTTTCTAGAATAATGGCCCCACAGATACAAGTTACCACACTGGGTCCTTCAAGGAGCATGGATTTGGAAATAAAGCAATTGCAGTGTAAACTAAAGGTGATTACACAGTATGATAGGTTCAAAGTATCTAATAAGCCACTGCATGCTTAAAGACATTTAATGGATTCTAATTTAGTTCAATAAAGGTCACCATGATAAAATATTCCAAAAAACCATGAATATTGCATCTGAATAAGTCTTTCAAGTCTCTAGCTCTATTCCCTTTCTACTGTTTCTATTTGATTTTTTTCTTTTCATAGACTAATAAGCATCCTGAAATCCTACCTTAGAAGCTAAAGGAAAGCAGCCACTGTCTTCTCTGACACTCTACTCCTGATGTTCTCTGTATCTTGCTACAGATGAACAGATTCTTTTCAAACACATTGTATCAACACAATAGGGATTCTTTTCTTCCTACTAGGTTAATTTAGTTGTTGGCTGGAGAAAAGAACTCAGGGAAGAAACGCAGGTGTGGCCACGGGGAGAAAGGAAAACCAGAGACATAGTTTTCATTGTCAGCAGCAAGTTAAACCTAGGGGTAATGATACTAAGAATCCTTTTTGTGTATAGAAATTTCTATCTAATTCCAGATAACTTGTCAATTACTTAAAAGCGAGATTCACCTTAGTTTAAATAGAATTGTGAGAAGCAAGCTCGATGTGCTTTAAACAGAAAGTTAATTTTTCTGCATTCTTAATACGAACCTTACTTTTCCCATATTTAACTGTTTTCCTCAATGAGGATTGCAGGCTGGAAGCTGACAGCAGTGGATATAGGACCATTGCTGCAGTCGGCGTCACAGGAAGGGAGGGTCTAACTGTAATGCACTGAGTGCTTTACAATTTTATAAGTAGCTGTGACCAGGGCAGTTGGATAGCAAACTATTGAGTATGTACATGGCTGTTCTCAGCCCAGAGCATGAAGTTTTGAGCAGGGTTTTAAGTGGGATAAAAAAAGGGAAAACGTCAGCCCGACCAAGGCTCATGCCATCAGTAGTAATAATCAGTTGTGAAAGTGGTATTAATTGAACTGCCTTGTGCATAGCTCCTTGAGACAGATTTTACATGGAGAACATATATCCTAGAAATGTAAAGAAAAGCTGTACACAGTTTGGAGCATGTGCATTCTCTTGAAATGTGATTTTTGTCTAGAAAATATAAATACATATTTTAAATTAAATAGTTCAGTGTTTAGTTTTCATACACCTGAAGATGGGGCCATTGTGCTTGTCTTTAATTACGTACTATGTAGATGTTGAGTTAAAGTTCTTTGACATAGTTTATGTCATAGTTTATGTAGTCATATCCCTAATTTAGCTTCTCACCAAGAGAACACAGAATGATAGTCAGTATCATCTGACTTCTAATTCTTTTAGTTGTCATAGCTTTAAGTTGAGTCGTATTTGACTTATTTGACTTTGCTTACTGCAGATGTTCCAACAACAATTAAAACACCAAAATGTGGACTAACAGAATGAGCCTATCTATACAAGTCTCCATGTGATAAGATATTTACATTATGATATTTTACGTGTGTATAAATATCTGTCTAGTTTCAGAGGGAAAGTGAGACAAAGTTGAGACACAAGAAGGCTTCAAGCAGCTTGATTGCCCATGTGAATGCTGTAGTCTTTGGACAATGAGCTGTCTGTGGAGAAACAAAAAGGATAATGTCTGCTTTCATCCTGCCTCATGTTTTAGTAGAGAAGCTTTCTGGAAGAATTTAAGTACATAATATTTCCTGCTCCTCAAAATTTGTTTCAATATTTTAAATTGATTTGTTGAAACTGTGATAAGAAAATACCACTGACTGGCTGGCTTAAAACATTTCTTTTCAGCCGGATCTGGTGCTACAGGTCTTTAATCCCAGCACTCTGGAGGCAGAGGCAGGCAGATCTTTGTGAGTGTGAAGCCAGCCTGGTCTACAGAGTGAGACCCAGAGCAGCCAGAATTACACAGTGAGGCCCTGCCTTAAAACAAACAAATAACAGAAACAAATGCCAACAAAAAAGCCGCTGCTCCTCAGAAAGGCCTGCAGTTTGGCAGGGTAAATGAAAGTGTTGACTTTTGTTCTCCCCTCCTCCAAGGCCTTGCTTCTTGTCACATAGAGAGCAGCCTTCTAACTTTGTCTCCATGTGGTCTTCCTTCAAAGGTCCCTGTGCCTTATTTTACAGAGACTACTTCTTATTACATCAGGGCACACCAGAGACCTCATTTTACCTAAGTTACCCCTTTAAAGAAACCCCTCCAAACACAGCGCATTCTGAAGTACTGGAGGGTAAGTGAGGACTTCAGTATATAATTTTAGGGGATACACTGTAACTCACAACACATATAAGACTCTAATGGTGATTAACTAGGAGGTAAGGCATTTCAAGCTGAGATTTAGGAACACTGTTTAGATGCTAATCTGTTAAAGGTCTATGTACTTCTTTTTTCTAATTCAGGTCTTTTCTATTCACTTCTTACACAGTTTTCAGGAACTGGTGCACTTGTTATATGTAGACCTCATGTGTATTTTGTCTGTCTTCTTTTGCCCCATTAAACATGTTTCCTCAAGGAACTCTACAGAGGTAAATTCAGAGGTGGATAATAAAAGCTAAAATAACGGAAGTTTCTATCGATAAATGATAGAGATATGACCATCATTTCCTTTTTAGTTCACTAGTCCCTCCATTACCCACAAGTCAGGGATACAGCACTTCTAGCTACATAAAATATCACTATAAGTCTCAAAACAGATTGGAATCAGGCAACTGTCTTAAAATCTACCGAACATATTCATTTGAAAACAATATCAGACTTTTCATGCTGTCTTTTACTTTTTGTTTTAAATAAAGTACTAAGTCCAACAGAAACATTTCAGGAACACCAAGTTTTCAAGGTGCAGAGTGAGGGATGGGATGGGTGTTTTAGGCAGGAATATTGAGAGCAGAAAAAAAAACAGAGATAGGCAGAAATTAAAAATTTATTCTATTCATATTTGCTTAACACTTTCTGAACTTAACAGATGTGTAATTCAAGTAGATTAACAATATTGTGTGAACAGAAAAGCTAAAATACCAACAGGATTAAGTGATGTTTCAGATTATACCTTTAACTTTAACTTGAATCAAGATGAAGTTAACTGTCTTGATACTGTGCTTTCCTGACTCGCAGATGGGATGAACAAGAAATAACTCAAAGTTAATCTGCTTTGGAAATATATTAATTATGTATAAATCCTTAAGTAACAATTGCTACTCTTAGTAAGTTCAAACAATGAGGAATTTAGTGTTAGTAAGATTGTTAGTCACGTAATAGTCTCGAACAGATTATCCTTAAGTATCATTAGCCCACTGTAGTTTATTGTCTATTATTACTTTTGCTGTTCACTTCTGGGTTCCCTCATCCTTAAGATTTATTTGCCAGTCTGGAAGATACAGTGCAGGATTCACACCCGAGTCTGCCAGGTGTTTATCTGGCTGTCACCTGCAGCACCTCAGTACCCTGCATATGGCCTTGGAACTGTCTTCCAGAAAGGTGACACCAGGGCACCAACCTAAAAGCACAAAGGCAGAGGTCCAGGGCTTTGAGGGCCTAGAGTTGAATTCACACAGAGTCATTTCAGCCATGTTCTCTTGGTGAAAGCAAATCACAGCTGAGACCAGATCCTAAGAGTTGGCAAGTGGTTGTTACACTTTCTAGGGGGAACATCAAGTTATCTGTGGTCACATTTGATCCAGTGGAGCTTGTGAGTAAATCTCTCATTCATTTTAAGTGATCTGAGCCATTAAGATTCTTAATCGCACATTTACATTTTACTCAGACAATTCCTATTTCCCATTAAAATATTTGAGTCCTGCACTGTTATTCATGTTCTGTATGGTCTGGCACGCTGTATAATGGTTTCATTATAAATATGTGATCTTATTTGTAAAATATAAAAATAAATAATATACTAAAATACTAGTAAATATAAAATAAATAATATGCTAAAATGATATACTAATATACATTTTAGTCATTGTTAGCATAATTAAAATGTTACTCAAACCAGTGCCTTTGTTTTAAATCTAAAAAAGATGAATTGAAGTATATATTTATTTCAATCCAGAATGCAACTAATGAACTCACTAAACAGTCATCAAATGTGAAGTCTCTGAAACTGGAACTCCTGGCAAAAGATGACCACATAAAGGAGATGCATGAAAAGTAGGCTTTTATACTTCTATCTATTGTGTTTGCTGCCACCTAGTGGTTGTCAGTTCTCACCGTTCCACTCTAAAACAATACCAGCGTTTATCTTTAACAATGGAATTTTACTATTTCAAGATCGTTTTAAGCCAACATAAGATGGAATTTTAAGGAATACTACATATAGCATGATTGATGACAATCTGGTTGGTGCTCTTGATTATAGTGAAATATTTAAACCATTTTCCCTATTTAGAATAGTTTGAGTAAAAATAATGAATATAAGAGTAAACAAAAACCTACAGTTCTAAGACTAAGAGAACATATATGTTAGTATTCGAATAGGGTTAATTCCTAGGTTTATAAAGCTAAGGTCAAACTGAAAGTTTCATTTGCTCATAAAATAGCTAGTGTGTGTGTGTGTGTGTGTGTAATATATATATATATATATATATATATATATATATATATATAATTTTTAAAAGAAGTTTGAATATCCTATGATACTGAGCAAATGTGATTCTCTTTCTTTGTGCCTTATAACTTTTAAAGCTTTTATATGAAAATCTGTTTAGATAGAAGACATCATTGACAAATTTCTCATATGACTACCTGTAGGTACTATTACGAGTGAAATATTAACATATTAATAACTAAAACTTAGACAGAAGATTACTGGCTGAATGTGGTAGCTCGTGAGTATAATTCTAGCATTAGAAAGTCCAAATCAAGAAGATTGCCATGGAGCTAAGGCCTACCTGGGCCTTGTCATTAGTCCCACCCAGCCTGGGCTTCAGTGTGAAACCTGCTCTCCCAAACCCTCCAAATAAAAATCATTCTTTGTTTAGCTGAAAATGTCTTGAAATAACGTATAGACCAAGTGCAGCGTATCACCATCGTTAGTGCTGAGGGGTCTAGAGAAACTGAATCCTGGCTCCTCTGTCTCCGAGCTCTGTGCTTCAACCTAATAGTCTTAATTTATGAAGTTCCTCTGAGGAACAAATGAGTCAGGACTCGAAGAATTTGCAATAGCTGCAGATAACAAGGGTCCAGTCCGTATGAGCTGTTGTCACTCACCATCATAGTGGGGCCATAGTTACAACATCAGGAGCAGATGTCACTGAAGTTAGCATTGTGTATACAGTACTCAGCATTGCAAGGCGAACTGATAGGCGAATTCGGTCTCAACTGAGTGGATAAAAGTTAGTGTACCTCGTTATAGTTTCTTCGCATATTGCAGGATTTTTATATTTTTAAACAAATTACAGTATTGTTTCTTAACATTGTTAGGATTTTTGATAGTCCTAACAGATAAGTATCACTTCAATATACCCAAGCAATGCAAAAATATAATTAAATTTCATAAATTATAATAATCTTTCTCAGTTAATCTTTCTTTTGCTATAATGCAAATATGTAATAATAACAAAGTCACAACCAGATTATGGATTTTACTAAAGTATATGATATTTAGATGCTTATTAAAATGCAATTTGTTTTACTGACATAGTGGCATTAACATCAGCTTTTCAAAACTAATAGTGGGATTGATCATTGGTACAGTATGCCAAGATACTTTCTGCCCCTGTTAAATTCTTCTCCCTTAAGGATGTCTCGAATGGAGAGAGATATAACCATGAAAAGACACCTGATTGAGGACTTGAAATTTCGACAGAAAGTAAATTCAGAAAGTAATGAGAGTTTTAATGAAATGTTGGAAACTCTTGAAAAAAAGGTACTAATGTTTGTGTTCACTGATAAATTATTTTCTACTGTATTTATTTCAGCATAAATATTTAGTATATATTTATACACAGTAATATTGTTATGCCATTTTTCTTTGTTTCAGAATTCAAGACTCCACAATTCCACATATAAAATACATACAGTGTCTGCCTATTTGTATACTACCATGCAGGAAAATGCTTAATTTTCAAAGTATCTAGTACTTATGTTGTATATAACAATGTCCTTATTTATTATTTTGTATTATTTAAACCTACAGTATAAACGGACAGAATAAGACTAGTGTACCAGTGCTGTTTAAATCTTTCAATGCTCTTTATGCAACCCACAAAGCTTTAACTTTTTACAATTTGTATTGGTGTTTTGCCTGTGCGTATGTTTGTGCACCTCATGCATGCCTGGTACCTGTGGAGGTCAGAGGAGGGCTTCAGATCCCCTGGAATTCAAGCTTACAGACGCTTGTGAGTTGCCATGTGGGCACTGGAGATTGGACCTGTGTCCTCTATAAGGGGAACAAGTGCTCATAACCTCCGGGCTGTCTCTCCAGCCCCTCTTTTTTTACTTTCATTTCAGATATAGCTTTAAAATGCTTGCTTAAGTAATTATTTCTCTAGTGGCATTAAGCTTCAAACCGAAAGCAGTTTCTTCTATTATTCTTTGAACTATATAACGAATGTTATTCTATAATGCATATCACTTGTTTTAGTTTGGTTATTAAGAATTGCTACTTTCTTCATAATGTGAATACTACAAGTTAGACTACTTTAATTTGATACAGTTTATGAGACAGTGAATTCAATTAGACTAATCCAGTTTCTGATGATACGATACAGCATACTACTTTAATGCATTTGCTAACAGTAATTACCTTTATATTTTTATTGCAGGTGAAGACATTAACTGAAGAATGTTCCAACAAGAAAATATCAGTTGATTCACTAAAGCAAAGACTTAACGTTGCTGTGAAAGAGAAGTCGCGCTACGAGCAGATGTATCAGAAAACTAAAGAGGAGTTAGAAAAAAAGGTATGCTTCTGAACACCCAGATCTAGATTTGAATGTAGCAATGCCGTTCTCATCTTTAATGCTGTCACCCTTTCTCCCTACATCAATATGAATGACGTAACAACGCCACATGACTATAAAGAATATTGTGTCACTACATGAACTCTAAGACTTTGTTTTGCCTTAATGCATGTGGTGCATTAGCAAAATAAAGAAAAGCAAGCACTGTCTTTACTCAAATGAAAGTAAGTTGTGTGAATAGAATGATGCAATCTGACTTGCGTAAATTCCTTTCCCAATATATGTGTGAAATACTTTTTTCTTTTGTTAATATCAATCTTTTTGCAGGATCTCAAGATGAATCTCCTGATATCAAAACTAAATGACACAGAGACAGCCATGGCTCAGATTGAGACAGCAGCTTCGGAGCAGCTCCAAGGCTTAGCTCTTCAGAGTGAGCAGGTCCTGGAAGGCGCACAGAAGAAACTGGTGTTCGCCAATGAAAAGATCGAAGAGTTCACTGTCTTTGTGAAGGTTGGAACCATTGAAGGTCTATTCACTAGTGCTTTCCTCCCGGCTGAGGCGGTGTCCTCTTTCTGAGCATTTGGGGAGCTGTCAAGGTCCTTGCTTTTAGTTGTTGCTGATGTTACTGCTTAGAGATGATCTCAGGAGAGAGAGAGAAAGAGAGAGAGAGAGAGAGAGAGAGAGAGAGCGCTCAGCTGGCCTGAGATGGTTGATTCTCCTGCCTCTAATTCTCATGAGGAGTGCAGGTTGTTCCTGGCTTTCTTGCTTTACTAATCCACAAAATCTTTCCTCCTACCCTGGGGGTCACAGTGTTCAAATTTTCTCTATAGCAGATTTCATGGTTTGAGTTTTAAGTTATCTGCCCTACTGCTAATATTTTTTCTTAACATTAATTTAGTAATGAAATGGTAGTAGTCAAGTAATCAAGGTAGACTTAAAATGAATTAAGTCACTTCCACTCTGTTTTAAAAATCACCCAAGCAAGGACAAAGATACTCCTATGTTCGGTTAAGCTAATGTACATGGATTCAGTATAGTCGGAGAAGTAGCAAATGACTCAGGAGAACATGAAGGCAGCTGAAATGCCTGCAAATAAATGATGGCTCAGTTGTCTTATCTACATGCCACCTCAACATCAAAGAACCCCAGAAAAAGTTAGGAATTGGTGACACAAAGAACCTCCAGAGCTGTGATCGCTGGAAGAGGGGAAGGTACACTCAGCACTCTCCCCTCCTCTCCAGAAGCAGCGGTCATTGAGAACAGAGAGCCTGTGAAGGCTCTGCCCTGTTTAATCCCCTATAAAGTGCCAATAACTCTATTCAGTAACTTTTATTCTTCGTCATGTAGTTAGTACGAAAATCTATTACTACTAGCTAGGCCATGGTGATTTCCTTAATAGTGGGAACAATATTTTATTAATCTATCTCCAAGCAGGTACCATAGTGCCTTGGAAAGAATAGTACAGTAAAGATTGCTAATTAAATGGAATTTGCATCGAAAATGTGAAGTATTAATGGCAGTCCTATTGACCGTCAATGTTGAGTATCAAATGGTCTGCAGTGAGAAAGAAAACTCCTTCTTTTCCCCACTGCCCCAACCCTATTTCCCCCTGTGCTTCAGTCTTTAGTGAGCATGGTTGTCTCCCTGCAGATGGCATGGAAGACGCCATTCGAGAATGTAGAAACAGGGCTGAATGGGAAGGCTTGAGGCAGTCTTATCGCCTCAGTGGGTGTGCATTTTCCAGCTATAGACTCTTACAAAATATAAATTTAAGTAACTTCCTGTAAAGTTATATTGCCAGTTACTGCCTTCATTTCCATGACTCACCATAATATGAACCGCCAGCATGTACTTCACTAAGTGGACTGGAGAGGTGGCACAGCGGTTAAGATCACTCGCTGCCCTTGCAGAGGACCCAACTTCAGCTCCCAGCACCCACATAGGGCTGCTCACAGCCACCTGTAACTCCAGCTCCTGGGGATCTGACACCTTCTTCTGCCTTCTTTGGACAAGTGCACATATATGACATACACATAGACAGACAAATGCATACACATAAATAAAAGTAAATCTAAAATGTGTTAAACTTTAAAATGTGTAAAATAAGTTATTTTACATTTATGTTATCTTAATGTTCTCGTATCAGCTCAAGTATGACTTTTCTCTCTAGACAGATCAAGAGTTGGGCCATATTTGAAGCCCTCAGAAAATAAGACACTCTGTTGAGTATTTCAGAATGTCTATAGGCATAGGTCTTATTTAAAAGTAATAATATTCTTGGGCTTGTACTTTAATTATGCACTGGCAAATAACTGGGTTTTATCTATATGTTATTTTATTGTACACCCCCCACTATATAGGAGCCCAAAGCATTGTCAGTAATGTGCCAGGGAGATGCCTGGCTTTCTTTCATTAGAAATCATAGATACTTAGGAAGTTTCGCATTTAAAAGCAGCTACAAAATGAATAAAATAAACGTTTGACCTCCCTTAATAATACCTTTTAAATGGTATAAAGTCAAGCCAATAATGCACGCCTAGGAAGATCGTGATTGGTTAAAAAGATTAATTTCAGTGAATGTAATTTGCATTTCCTGACTTAAAATGCCATTTTCTTTCTGCTTACTGAAGTCCCACCATTTAATTTATAATGAAAAATCTCTTTGGATATTGTTGCTACTTGAGCCATGTAGGACCATTTTTATTATGACTTTGTTTTCCTGTTTTTTTTTTTTCAGCTTTGAGTTTTCTTTGCTGTGCTTTTAGACAGGATTTAAACTATGAATGAGACACATGAGTTTTATTATTTTCCAATCATTATTTTATAAAATATACTTTGAATATGGTCTTTTCAAAGGAAAAATGGTAAATGAAAACCAGAAATTGTACAATAGGAAAACTAATTTCATAACTACATAATTTGATTTTTATCCACTTAGTGTAGTTTTGTGACCATGATAAAATAATTTGTATATTTCTCCACAGAAAATAGGTTAGCAAAAATTAACCTAAAAAGCGTATTTTTTACTTATATGCCTGAGTCTCTAAACTCTAGTTATTCAAAGGTGACATATTGATCCTTAAAGGTGATGTGCTGGTCCTTTAAACTAACCAACAATTATATAAAAGTATAAGTAATAAATAAATAAATAAATAAATATAAAATTGTTACAATTTCATGGAATTTTAATTTGAATAACATTTTAAATGGTATAATAAAAATGAGGTACATTGGCACTTGACTTTAATCCCAGCTCTCAAGAGGTATAAGCAGGGAGATCTCAGCGAATATGAAGTTAACCTGGTCTACGGAGAAAGTTCCAGGCCAGGCTGGGCTACATGGTGAGAATCTGTCTTATGAGAATGTGTGAAATAGGTATGTTTAGTATTCTTTTGGAATTTTTACACTTGATTTTAAACATTTAACATTTAGATTACCAACTTCAGAATCATTTGATTCTCTTGTATTTAAACAAAATATATAATATTGGCCCTGAATCTAGTGAATCATGATTCTGGTTCAGCAGGACCTCAGATCTGCACTTGACAAGTTAACTAAATGAGTAGATAAAAGCTTTAGGTGGGGGCTAGAGAGATGGCTCCATGGTTACGAGCTCTAGCTCTTTGGCAGAGTACTCAAGCTCAATTCCAAGTACCCACAAAGAGGCTCAAAACTATGTGTAAACCCAGTGTCAGGGCATCTGAAACCATCTTCTGGCTTCCAAGGGCACCAGGCACACGTATGGTACCCAGACATGCATGCAGGAAATTATAGAAACATTGCATTGTTTCTTTAACAATTAAATCTATATGACAAAAACGTATCCATTTGGCATTTAAAAGTTAAAAATTCCCAGTTCCGGTGGTGATTTGACATTTGTTGTAATTGTGTTTTCTGCTGATGTGTGTTTGACACTAATATCATGCCTCTTTTTAAGTTTTCTTAATCAAAGGCTACCAGCAGCCAAATGCAGAAATATTGGTCAAGACTGAGAGGTTGGGTCTTAGTAACGGGGAGTCAGCCACTTCTGTTCTTTACTTGAGTGACCTGGGGCTGGGCAGCGATGCTCAGGGACCACTCACCCAGGTAATGTAGCATCTGCAGGTTCTGGGGCCCTGCTGTGTTAGCTGTGTCACATCTAGGCTTCTTCCCTTTTGTAACTGAATAGCATCCTGCCTTTTAAAAATACTCTTTCTCACTCTTCTCCAGCCCTTACACTTTCTCAAGTTCTACTTCTTCCTTTTACCCACTTCCAGAGTTAACTTAGGGCCTTCCATATGAATCTCTCCTTTAACCTTGTAGCCAAGAGGACAGAGTTCAACTCTGCTCCATACTAGCTTTGGGATCTCAGGTAACTGATTTATCCTCTGCCTCAGTTTCCCTCCTCATTAGACGAGTATGCTAATAGAGCATACCTGGGGTTAGGGTTTGAGTAAGTCTTCATAGCTAAAAGTTTAGAATGGCACCTGGCAAACCAGAACTGCTCTGAAAGTATCAACTGTTATTGATTCAAATGGCAAGTAAGAGGATAGTTATCTCCTGCTCAGTTATTTGTATACAATTAAAGTGCACTTGTACATTTTTTCACTGTTTCACGTATACTATATAGCCAACTTTAAGGAACATTGTCAATAATTTCCTTATAGTACCATCAGCCAAGAGGGTCATTCCATTCTTGAGGAATTGATCAGACAGATAGACAGATACATACATGCACACACACATATGCACATGGTACCAGAATTAGAGCTACTTTTCAGATTAAAAATGTAAATACAAGATCTGTCCATGACTATATATAGTTCTTACATGGATCATAATAATCACAATGTATTCTTCATAGAACTTGTTAGATATCATGTACGCTAAACTACTTAATAAATATTATCAGTAGTTTTAATAGTACTAATGTTTGCTTTGGTCCTGTTGTGGAATCTGTGTTCCCTTTAGTCTTCTCATTTATTTGTAGGGCAGAAGCAGATTATGGAAGAGGTGGAAGGGCCATCTGCTCTAGATCTAGTCTTGAATATGGAATTTGGCCCTGGGGTGAAATCAAGTGCTTTGAGCATCTGGGCTGGATATATGTGGCAGAGCTGAGGCTTTGAATTCTCCTAGTAACTGGAGAAAACACACTGGGGAAATTTCTAGAAGTATTTGCTCAATTTGAGTCAGCCCTGATATATATATATGTTTGTTAATGTGCTTGTATGTGAGAGTCATAGGCCAGGCACCATTATCTCAAAATGTTTTGTTGTTTTTCTTAACTAAAAAATATACAACAGTACTTAGCTGGGACATGTGCATGGTTTCCTTATCAATATATGTTTTTGTTTGGCAAGATTTAGTTTGATTTTTGGGGTATGTGCACTTCTTTCTTCTGTAGTGTAGGCATTTGTTGAACATTCCAATTTTGTGTCTACATTTGCATGGTTAATATTTAAGCACTGAACTAGTTTTTTAATTAGGAGTTTTAAACACTTCTATAAAATAATCACCTTGAATTCATACTT